AAGATCTTTGCATTGACAGTTCGCTGTGGATTGAGGAGTTCGAAATGAATTACTTCTTTGATGTCCCACCAAATGCAAAGCATCACTTTCTGCGGATGGAGTCCAGGTTTTAGAGTCGGAAGTGGTTTTTGTCTAGGACTAAGCCATTATTTTTGGTGTTTAATATTCGCATTGAGAATCCACTTTTCATCATCGGTGACAATTCTTTCCAAAAATGGTTCACGAGCATTACGTGCCAAAAGAGATCAAACAACAGAACAACATTCACATGTTGGAAATGATGATCATCAGAGTTCGTGAGGCACCCAAACACCTTTAAAGAGTTTCCCTATATTCCTTAGATGTTTATGTATTGTTTCATGAGAGACATGCAATTTCAGGGCCATTTCATGAGTGTTTTGCCTTGGATTAGACTCAACAAGCATCTTCATGGCATCGGTATCAACTCCAATATGTCGGCCCCCTACCTTCACAGTTTTTAAGGCCAAATTCACTTGAACGAAATTTGCTGAACCATCGTTGACACTTATGAACATTCAAAACATTTCCATAAACTTCTTTGATATTCTCTGTGGCTACAGAGGCATTGTTTCCCTTCTTGTAGTCAAACAGCATTACATGACAAATGTGTGTCTCATCGTGTGCCTTCACTATAGGGATTAGAGTATACTAAACTTTACACATTATATTGTTATGTTCCCAAATGTGACATTACTTTCTTGACGACCTAGTATATAGCTTTTCAGAAATGAGTATAAAGGTTTGTAAATATTAGATTCCAAAATTATAAAAGCATGCTTTAATTAAAAATTTAACTGATTAAATTACAATAAGTATGTTTAAAGCTAGTACCATACACATACCTAATCTACTTCAAGCTTTTTCCTCGAGATTTGTGCCATTTTGCAGGTTTGTTTTAGTTCTTTTTTGTCTCTCGTAAAAAAAAATGTATATGTATATTCTAAACTTTAGATATTTTGGTTCTGTTTACTTAGTATGTAAAGCTGCAAATATTTAAGTGTAAACATGCCTCAGTATAACAAAAGTTCCAGCTAACAATTCAAGGAAAAGTATTGTCATTGAATATTGTGACTTATTCCCAGCTTCATTGTTTGCAGGTTTTACTCTCACAATCCCTCAATTGCTCCTTATTGCTTATTATCTGGACTAGTCAAGATCAAGGATGGTCTGGACAATCGAATATTGGGATAATTGGAAATTATTAAAAAATGGTATCTGGAACATATATTTTACAAGATCATTAATAATACATATAGATAATACAAACAAAAATCATTTAAGGCATAAGTAAGAAATATTATTCCACTTACCCGTGTAGTATGCACTCTGAACAACTTACCACTGTTGAGAACATATGTACACTTCTTTAATTTATTTACAACAATAATTGAGTGATTGACAGCTGATGCATGGAAGATCTTTTTTTTTTTTTGCAGCTGAATCATGCAATCTTTACAAACACAGCAGCAGAACAGAGTCACACTCTTCCTGCATTATAGATGAAGTCACTATCATACTTTTCTTTATGAATTGATGTTTCTAGTTTGTTTACAAAATTATTAGCCTTTGAAAATTCAACTAAAAGTTTTTTGCCATGAATTTGTAGTACACATGTACAGTGTCATAACTTAGAGTTTCATAGCCATCCTGAGATTGCCTTGAATTCTAGATTAACATTATGTTTTTCATTAAAACTTACAGCCTTTTTACAAAGAACACAACATAAAATGGGTTGGTCAAGTGGCCACATTTGTAAAAACCACATGTAAAAAGCAGTGTCCACTTTCTCATTTTCTGGTTATTTCATTGCTTTCCATACTTCTCTGCTGGCTTTTTACCAGATTCACCTTTTTTTAACTTGTTCACAATGTAGACATTTTCACTCCAACAAAGAGCAACTTTGATAAAAAATAAACATGCTTTTTTAATTTTTAAGGTAATACAAAGCATGTCTGTGCTCAGTAAAGTTAATGTCGCAACTGATGGTTCTGCGACGAGATCTACCCTTTGCTATGAGGTGATCCAAACATGTTAGGACACATATGTGTGTTCTTTTACAAAGAAAATACATATATATGTACATATTTTTAATTTTCAAAATTTGTTCTGGATAATTGGCATTTGACTGTAATTGATACATCTTCCAGTAGGTCAGCAATAAGTTTATACAGACTTACAGCACTAAAATCCAGGGTTTGATTCCCCATAGTGGACAGAGCATATGTAACCTATTGTGTAGCTTTACACTAAAATAAAAGGAACAACAAAACTGTTACTTTTCAGGCAATGATTGGTGAGTGTTCAAGTTTCCCAGACATTATATTTGTGCAAGTAGACAGCCACCATATAGTATAGCCTACATATTTCTCTGTGCAACCAGGACCTGTAAATTTGTAGATGACACAAACTACTGTTTACTTTTCGGTGTCACATCCTAGAAATGGTAAACACATATCTAATTTCTTTTTTGTAAATAAATTCTGTTCTGTAGTCATGTGTGTTTAAATCTGTTATAAGAATTTTATTTTTAATTTCAGGGATGTAGTTCATAAAAGTAAAACTTTGTTTGTGTTATATTCAAATTTACATGTTGCTTGCTGCATGTTAAGAACCATATAGGCTCTGTCTGTCTACTCGTATTATCAAACATTGTCTGACATACATCAGCTAAGTAAAAAAGTGCTAACACCAGTGATAACTCTATGACAATTAATTGAGCTGATGATCAGGAGTAATTCTGGATTTGTGAGACAAACAATTACAAACAAGAAGCTGGGACTGAACTTAAACAATTCAATAAGGCCAATTCTCCTTAAGACGTGAACTGTTTTTCTTATGTGAAACTGCATTGTAAACTATAGAATAATGCAGAAAAAAACTTTTAACATGTTCATTGCCATTGTGAGTAAGATTAAACTGCAACCAGGTACTGTTCTTAAAGTTTCAAGAATTCATGTGTAATAGTACTCTAATAACAATGCATAATTACCTTCTTGTTGTTTTATTTTATAAACAAATGGCACTGTTTTTCAGAGTTTTCTCTTGTGTTTCCCTTGATGCATTATTTACATCACTTTCAGATCATGGTATAGTATATATCTTACATGTTGAGATCTCCTCTGCATTCAAATCTGCTGCTTCTCTTTCAGTAGGGGAAAAATCACTTACTGTTTACAGAATCACATGAAACTTCTAACAATACATCAGCAATTTCTCTATATTTATGAATTATTATCTTTTTATTTGGAGAACTTTGTTCCAGATGGACCTAGTTTCCATTTTATGGGCTGAATTTAAAAAAACATTAAAAGGTTAATTATAATGTCACCACTAAAACAAGCCAGAATGATGTACATTACACTGTCAGTTCAGCTCCTCTACAAGACAAAAACATTTGAGACAAAAGCCATGTGTGTATATGTTCATGTAAAGACCTTGAGCCAGATGATACAACATTTGCATCATGCAGCAGTGTAGGTGTTAAAGAAAATGACTCTTTTTTTTATTTTATCACTAGTAGTAAATATGCTATTTTCAAGAGAGAAAGGACTTGCAGAGTAAGTAACTTTTTACAAAAAAATAAAGAAAATTGTACTATCAATTCTGTATTATATTTTAAAACTTCCAGTTTTAAAAAGGTAGTTCTTATTTGTAAATTTTTTATATAAATACCATTTCTTTTTTAACCCTTTGGCCTGTCATTTAGATCTAATGATCCTATCTTTATAAATGTATCACAGAAGTAAGCACACTAGTTAATCATAAATGACTGATTAAATCAGAAACTATAAATTCCATTTCCTTTGAGAAACAAAAAATAAACCAATAATTTCTCCTATTAGGTGAAAAAGGTAACATGAAGTAAATAACCTGTAGGTACAAATTAGTAAAGGAACATGAAATATACTGTAAATAACCTGTAGCTGTGGTTAACATAGATTTGCTAATTTAGGAAAAAAGTGTTTAACCATTTTTGTATCATATTGCTTGTGAATCCATGATTTTGTTATAGTTTCCCTAACATACAAGGCATGCTTAAACAATGTATACAAAAATATCACAAGTATTGCAATTAATTCCACAGTTAATTACCATCGAGTTCTTTCACACTTTTTTTGATCAGTTCACTGAGTATTGTAGTGGAAAAAAATATATAATTACACAATATGATACAACATGTTGATGTGAGCACCACCAGTAGTGAATGGTATAAAAACAAGTCAGAAATCTTCGGATTAATAAGGTAGCATGAAATAAATAATCTGTAGTTGTGTTTATGTAAGTGAGTGTGAAATTAATAACCTGAAGTTATACGTTGATAAAATAACATGAAATAATTAACCCATAGGTGTAAATTTATAAGAGAGGGATAAATAAGTAAACTGTTGATGCAAGCCAATAAGGAAACAAAATAATAAGTATAAAACAGCTAAAAATGGAATATATAAGACATAAATATAGTTGTGTTGACATTTCCCCATTATTAAATTAATGTGGCATGATCAGGTTTAGTCAATTACACTTTCAATTGCTTCAACTGTAATCAGATGAGGTCCTTGCTTAAATTATTAGTATGTATCTTACTAATTCAAAAATTACAGTCGTATAACAATCTTGATAAAAGAGTTAGCACAAAGGATCACATATAAAGTGTAATAAACTTAAAATCAAACTCGAGCGCTTTCAAATAGTTGACTATTCTTCTTCAGGAGAACAATGTTGTTCTTAGTTTGATGTTGTTTTTTATACTTTCATGTTCCCATTCCTAAAGCACAAATAGCCCATTGTGTAGCTTTGTGCTGAACTTCAAACAAACAAACCCATTCATAAAGCTGCAAAGTTAGTTTCAGAGATGCTGCTTATCTCTCCACAGAACTGATAGTTGTTATCTCATGCCACTGCCAAAAATATTTTTGTGCATGTGCCAAGACTTGAATGAAACTCCTATCCCCAAGTATTAATTTCTACTGTACCAGTCTATTTTGTAATCATTGTTAGACTATAATGGCCCTCCACCAATAGGAGGGCAACACAACCTCCAAGGAGAGTAAATCCCATGCATTTTAATAAAGGATCATTCTTTTCCTGGCACTGTTTTGTTAAGCTGCATTTATTTCATTAGGATTTATGGAATTTTTGAATTTTAAACTTTTAGCCACCATTCTTAATGTAGTCTTTCATGCTTTTAGTTTCTTGATCTTGAGAGAGAAAGGTTTGGAATTTTAAACATATTAATTATATAATCTGTTTTGAATTATATTACTTTAAATTCTTCTTTCTTAATCAAATTATAAAATTTTGGGACCATTCTTCCTTCCTACTGTAGTGGATCAAACTATCACACTATTTTGACATCCTAAATCAACATGTAAAAAATAACCTTAAAAGAAACTATTAAACTATGCCAAATATAACCTAAATAAGAACATTAAGAACCAATACTCTTCACTGCAAAACATAATATAATGGAAAATAATGCTTGGGCTCTTCATTAAGAACCAATACTCTTCACTGCAGAACATAATATAATGGAAAATAATGCTTGGGCTCTTCATTAAGAACCAATACTCTTCACTGCAGAACATAATATAATGGAAAATAATGCTTGGGCTCTTCATTAAGAACCAATACTCTTCACTGCAGAACTTATTATAAATGAAGAATGTTCAGCCAATTCACCTTTTTCAAAGGCCATCCTAACTGCTTCAATTTCATCACTGAACCCAGAGACTCTGTACAAGCCTTCTGCATCTAACCCTAGACAAATATGGAAGAATTAACATATAGTCTTTAAATGTGTCCAAGAAGAATTAAATGTAACTTTTTCACAAAAAAATTTGTATTAATTACCTAGAATATTTTAAGTTGTTGTAACTCGTTTACAAAATTACACAAACATTTAATCTAATAAAAGCAAAAGTGATTGAGAAAAGACTGTGTATAAAATTATTACGTTTGTCTTTGAATGACTCTAGCTGGTGAGTTTTTACAGCTTTGATTTATTTAATTCACATTTACTCCAAGTTGTTTATTTTACAGTTCCTTTTTGACCTATACTCACAGGATATTTCACCTCCCTTAAAATTTATTGTCACTTATTTTACACTCTTTTATTGACATATATCTACAGGTTATTAATTTTATGTATCGTTACACTTATAGGTTATTTCACTTTCCTTTACTTATTTACACCAATAGGTTATTTATTTCAAATTCCTTTATTGGCCTACACCTACTCATTTCACTTTTCCTTATTGATTTTAAACCAACAGGCTATGGAATTTTAATAATGATTTTATCTAACTAAACATCAGTTAGATGTGTATATATTAAATTTATTCCACATATTCCAAAAAAAATATCTGTACATTAAATTCAGATAAGCGAGATTTTTTCATGAGATTTGAACAAAATGTTTCAGTTGTTGAACTTTTTATTCTTAAGTTAAAGAACACCTGAAAGTTTTCATTTTTGTTAGTGGTTTAATGTTATTTGGTGGCTTACACTTCCAATGACCTGAAAGGTCTATGAAATATATTACTGTGTTAATTAAATTCAGTGGCTCTTTAAATTACTAATAGTTTCTGTCTTGTATTCCTAACCTGTGAAATTATAAAATAATATTTATGTGATCAAAGACCTATTCTAGTTATGTTATTAAAATATGACCTACATAATAAATATGGAAGAGTAAAAGATTCTGACTTTGTTGAAAGAATTCAGGACACATTCTTACCCCTTTTGATGTATTGTGCCTATGACAATATATCTGTTTCTTTATGTGTATTGTGCTGTAGAATCTATAGTGTATACTAACCTTTTCCCCTATACCCCTTCACAGATGTATTTGCCTTGGCAATGGTTATACTTATCACTGTCATGTGACTACTGACATCTTCATTAGAATAATGCTCTCTCTCACACATGTTTTGGTATAAATCTTAGAGCTGTACTCCTGCAACTGTATATCCATGTTTAGCCATGATAAACTTTCAAAGTAAAGATGAATGTGCTTTCACTTGTAGAAAATGTTTACAGTGAATTTTGGAGAATCCACAAAATGTGTTACAGATAAGTTTTGAATATTGGATGTACATTTGTATGTTAAGATGAATAAATTATGTAACAATAGCAGTAGGCCTAATATGTTAAAAATGTCTCTTTGTGATTGTTTTAATAGTCTTGAAACTACATAGCAAAAACTATTACCAAAAACAAAAAGTCCTACAAAGGGGTAAAACACTACTGACAGGTGTACTATCTAATTGTGATTTAATCATCAGTTGTGAGTTAAGCTGTTAAACTATTTATTACATGCGTTTTAATTGTGTTTATGTTATATGTTTATTTTGATGGAGCATTTAGCAATTTAAAAGCTGCAGTTGAAAAGTTGAAAGCCAGCGAAGCATTACAATTCAGTGGGCCTAACATGTGTGATAAAAATCATGTAAACTGTATGTTTTGTTTAGACATTCCCCTTAATTTGTCCATTTTGGATCCATTTATGCTGAATCTGAAATGATGAATTTAAGAAGAATGGGAAGAAAAAAAACTTGAGCAACTTAGGTTAATATCCCACTAGTCTTAAAGTCAATACATCAATAATGTATCAAGAGTAAAGAGTATAATTAATTCAACATTAGAGCTTGTACTGATAGTAATGTATATGTGCGATAGATGGTGAGCATGCTGACATCAGCAGTAGAGCATGTGAAGACATCCATGTAATTACAGGGGTATTGAAGCTCTTCTTTCGATTACTACCAATACCACTAATCACCTATGATACTTATCCTCTCTTCATGAATGCTGTTAGTAAGTACTTTCTTTGTATGTTTTTCTCTCTGTTTTAAATAATGTCTGAAAAGCTTTTATAAAAAATACTGAGTACAAGATTTTGTGTAATATTTGTTCTTTATCTTTCTTGTATTAGAATATTTAGAAACAAAATTATACAGAGTAGCTTTTGTTCTTTGTATTTTTTATTGTTTCTTTAGTGTATAATTATACTTTTGCCAGTAGAAAACAAAAATTGTCAGTAACTAAACTATTTCAGGTTTCTGAAGTGATTATTTCATATCAAAAGCATCAAGTATTACATTTGTTTTAAATAAGCTACATGTATCGTATGCTTGAATACTTTTATTACATAACAAGACATTCACTCTCTGTTTTCTCAATTATTTTTGAGTTAAAGTAATCACATAAAACAATTCACAAAAATAATTATTTTAGGTGTATTTCTTTTAGATCTATTGATATCAACTTCTTTTCCATAACTGGAACTTTTTTTAAAACTGTTGATTCATTTTGGAGTGTCAACTATCTAACATAATTGCTATGTGATACAAGTTCAATATGTAGTAGTTTAAAAAAATCTCATAATCTAAACAAGCCCTAAATTCTGTTGTATATAATCTACTGCTACTCTGTCATTTAAAAGTGTCATAATTGAAGAATTACCAGTCATAATATTAGTGCTTATAAGTTTGAGTGAAGTTCTTAAAACTGTATTTTTCTAAATATATGTATCTTTCAATTATGTAAATGCTTTTTCTCTGACTCTGTTTTAATTGTAAATAGTGATGCATGGTTATTAATTTCACTTACCCTTTCATAACATTGGTATACTTTAGGGGGATGGTATTTCGAGTATAGAGTAGTTAGTCTATGGTGTCCATCAATCATTGATCTGTCTTTGTATTATTTATTTCATTTTGTAATAATAATATGAAAGTCTATCTAATGAATATAGCTTAATCCTCATTCCACACGTTATATTGTCAACCATTAACAATTTATTACAATTTGCAAGATTGACAAACACTTTATAACTGCAGAAATTGCTTTTTGTTATTCATCAGGTCAGAATAAAGTGTCACAGACTCCTATTCAAAAAGCATGTTAATAAAAATAATTTTAAACTGCATCATTTGCATACCACTTTACTGTATTCTATAATATATGATATACACTGTTTGTGTTTTTAATACTTGAAGAACACTTCCTTAACTGTGCCCTCAAATGTAGGAAATGTTTGTGTGTACTATTCTTTTGGTCCCCACTTTAATAATAAAACATACATGCTTACCTGCACATAAACAAGTGTATATATCAGTAGCACAAATTCTTTCCATAATGTTAATTCTTCGTGGTAGACAGTTTAGTAATGATAGTAATGGTAAAACAGAATTATTAAATATGGAGTTTTGAAATGCAGTTTTGCTAAAATCTGTATTACCCATTTTTACATTGAAACAGTGTCCTATATAACTAGCTATCTATTTAATGTAAAATTTTATACATCTTTTAAACTTATGTGATGGGTACGCTAAATTAAGTATAATAATGGTCTTCTATATTTTTTGTTTCTTAACATAGCAAATATTTCATAATAAACTAGTAGTATAGTTTTATTTATTTTAATTTTGTATAAAGAACAAAATGAAATCAAATACAGGCAAAATAATGAAAAAAATATTTATTATTTTTAATAATAATAGCTAATGGCTAGGTACCCATCATACAGCTTGTGTTTTATTTGTCTTTGATTTGCAAAGAAATTGATATTAATAAAAAACACCCCATTTACAAACAACAGTGCCCTCAGTAGCTCAGTGATAAGTCTGAAAGCTTATAATACTAAAAACTGGGTGTCAATACCTGTGGTGGGCACAGCACAGATAGCCCATTTGTAGCTTTGTGCTTAACAACAAAATGAGCAAACAATAACATAAACTACTGAAGGCTGAAGCTTAGTGACCAGGGTACCCGGACCCTGTATTCGGCTAAATTTTACTACCTGTGCATCCCTATTTAACAGTATCCTGTCTCAAACCATAAACTCTCAGATAACCACTCTCAACAACCTAACAACTAGACCAAACCTTTTACTTTAACATGTACATATAACTTTAAACCATGTTCCTTTATTTATCAACTACATTCCACAATTTCAAGGATTCATAAAATTCCATAATGACAATATTAAATTTTAATTCAGAAAGATTAAAATATAAGAAATTAATAAATTTTAGACTAATTAAGTGTCAAATATCTTGCCTGTACAGATGTTGAATAAGGTACTTCAAGGTCTGATAATGTGCTGGTGGTAGTTTGACTGCTGCTTCTTTTATTCCATTTAACTTTCCTTCCATTGTTGATTTTCCTACAGATGTATGAGAATTTTATTTTCTTACCTTAAAATATCAAAGTCTTTATCCATGCATATTTATTACACTTTGATATGTCTCAAATTCTCATATACACTACAAGCTAGATCTTTGCAAGGACCATAAGGCTGGTGCTTTTAAACTATGGGGTTCAAGTGTAACAAGCAGAAGAGAATAGAAACTTATTCCCCTTGGGCAAGATGCTAGTTCATCACAGGTTAACCCCCAAAGTATCGAAATTTACAGTCAATAATTGGTTTAGTTAAAAAAAAAGTGCTCCGAGCAACAAAGCCTGACTGCCCACTGAAAATCAGGGATTCAAAAAACAATAGAGGTTAATAACAGGTATGGATTGAGAAGTGGATTTCTGGGGAAGGTGGGGGTTTTGAGAACAATAGGGGTTAGGGTTTGAGAAGTTGGGGCTAGGCATTGAAAGCTGAAAGTAAAACTTGAATGTTCTTTTGGTGATTACTTGGTTAAATGTAATAAACATCAATTTTGTTTTTGTTTAAATTTTTGTGTATATTTTGTTTGGGGGTTAAGGGGAGAATTTGGTCCCAGTTGACACCCGGCCCCGTTACTTGCCACAAAGATTAGGGCTTAGATGCCTAACTTCGACACTCTACCAGAGCCGAGTATTACCGGGTAGCTCAATACCCAGCTGGGGCCGAATATTTGGCGGGGTACCCGTGCATCCCTAATATTAAATGTTCTTTTCCCTTTCATCTGTGGATGTGTTAGTATTTGTCAAAGATAAGATGAAATAACCTGTATTTAAGCAAACTTTAATGTCTTGCAAAATTGTTTGTGGCACCTAAGAAAAGTTGGTAATTGTGATTACTGCACATCAAGGTAGAGTGGAAGTGTAGATAAAATGTGTCCTCAAATTATGTTTGAAAGAAAATAATCTTTAACTCATTCCCAAATGTTTGTTTTCTCCAGCTGTAGAGTAATGTTTCAAAAGTTTTTCTAATCATCATCAGAATAAGTTAAGATATTTCCAAAATTATTATGTAAAATAATAATAATAAAAAGATCAAATACAGTTAAGTACAGGTAACCAGTGTAGTATAAATATGAGGAGAAATATTTTTTGCAGCCTCCTATTAGTGCTGTTATATCTCCAATGCAATGAAATTATTAGTTAAAAGATAGTTGTTTACAGTGCCTGGTTTCGTGTGTAGTTAAAATAAAGATCATTGGATTAGCTTTTAAATAAAATAATGTAAAATTATTCCATAATCATTATATCAAGTATACATTACAGACGTTACAAATAAAAGAAAAACAAAAAAGAGAGGGAGAAGTATTCATGATTTATAGTAATTAGATTTTAGTTGATAAGTCATAAAATAAATAGTTTTTAGCCAATGGAAGTTATTCTGAGCTGCATGATTCTCTTTTTTTTTTATTTACAAAACTCTTGTAAAAATTATTGATTTCATTGAATTGTAAAAAATACTTCTTGTTTCATTTAATGATTTTTTAAACAAGTTTGAAAAAGTCAGGTTATGTCTGTTATCTAAAAGTTGGAAAGAGCCATAAGTTCATCATTTTTAGGGATAGAAACTAGAAAATAAGTATCCATATATTTAGAATACACAACTTTCCATTTTGTTTGAATCTTCATTCTCTGTTAGTGTAATCTGCAGGAACTTGTATGGAAATGCACAAATGAATAAAGTGAGTGCTGTCATTAACACCATTAACAATGAAGAGAAACAAGTTGATTATGGATTTTATAGGATAATTTAAATGTGAATGGTACAATGAAATTTGTGACATTTATAAATAATGGGTTGATGGAACTTTTGCTGAAGCAATTGCCAAAGGGCAGTAGATTTAGTTTCCGTAAAATACCATGAAAATGCTTTTGTATCAAAAATAAAATGTTGAATGTGACACAAACCTCTTTACTTTCAGTAATATAACGAGTACTGCTGGTTTTCTCTGAAATGTAAACTCAAAACTTGGGGTCTGAACGTTTTATAAATTGAAAATGGTTATATAATTACTTCAGTAACACTTTAATAAAATCCTTATCACAAGCATGTTTAGTTCTACATTGGTGGCAAACTGTGGCTTAGGTGATTGTTTATAAAATATCTTGATCAACAAATTTACATAAAGTTAGGAACAAGTGAAGATCAAAATATAAAACAAAAGTAGCATCACTCTAGGGCTCCATACCCTACAATATTTTCACGTATCTTATTTCATTGGAGTCAAGGCAGATGTCTTATAAAGTCACTGTGAAATGGGTGCCATCATTCCACCTGATCCAAATAATTCTCATAGTTACTGCTTGTTACCCCTCTGTTTATTTTTGCACAAGGTATTTGTAAACATGTATCCTTCCTTTGTTGAAGGTTTTGTTTATGCTTAAGTCAGATCCGTTTTCAATCTCCATATGTCAAAATTTAATATCCTGTTTAAATTTCTTTCGTTTTGAAACCAAGCACAAAATAACATTCTTTTGGGAACCAATCTGGTGTTGTTTTGTCTATTTTGCAGGAAGTTTTACTGAACAGTTTTAAAATACTGAACACAATTTTATTCATGTATTGAAGTAAATGTAGAATGACTCAGTCTTAGCTCTGTCAACTCTTATAAGTTCATGCGCTATCTCACGAATCAAGCACTTGACCAGCATAGAAAATTATAAAATTAGGTGCTTGTTGAGAAGTCATCTATTTGAAAGAGAAACTATTAAATTTCATTGAAGAGTCTGAGATTGAACTGGTTATTTGAAGATCATATTTAACTGAAATAAAGCTAATAATTATTCAATTAATTAATTTGTATGGGAAAGAGTGAGAACCATTCACTAAGATGAAGACATTCTTTTAATGTATTCAGTGTAATTTGTTTTTGTTATTTTATAAAAATCACACTATTAAAATATATTTGCAAATCAAAATCAATATATCTAGTAAACAGAGTCAGTGCAGATAGTGAAAAAATAACTCCAGAATCAACATATTAAAGAAATTGTTTTGCTTTAAACTTCTCAGATTAACTTTGGCATATTTACAAGTCATGGATTATCCTTGTGTTACTGTTGATTTCCTTTTCTGCCAGTGTTATAGTCTTATTTCTACCTGACTTTATTGAGTGAGTCTTTGCTCAGTTTCTTATTTGACTAGAGATCCAGTAGTAAGCTCTAATATAGAATTTTGTCTAACAGGAGGAAGGAACTTTAATAAAGTGTATAATGTAACTGCAGTTCTTTTGAAATAATTTTGTGTTTTTATCACGTTTCTTGAAACTCAGAATTGAAATGAAGTAATATTATTTTTTGATATTTTTTTCTTTTCAGAGTTACAGAAAAACAAAAACAAAACCTTATGAGTATCCAAAACTTGGGGACAGTGTTCTGTCCAACACTGATGAGAACCCCTGATCTCATTTCTCAGCCTGGACAGCTATCAGCCTGGCATCAGGAAAGTTTAGTCATAGAACTTCTGATCACTCACCACAGGCTCTTGTTAGATCACTAATGGCCTTGGTATTGTGTAATATTTTCATAATCATGAAGCTTCTCAAAAGCTTCCTGTCCACATTTTCATATATGTGTATAAGTAAGTGAAAGAAAATATGAAATTTCTACATATACATATATATATATTTACATAACTATTGTATGAAAAGGATCACTTATGGAAAAAAAGGAGAATGAAATACTTTTAACATTTGTATGACGATCAGCACAAGTCAGTTAGCACTAGTGGATGGTGACAACTACTTTACATACCAAAGTATTACACGGATTGAATGTGATTTCTTGACCAAGCTTCTTTTGATGAGTATCCTAGAGCAACAGATGCCCATATTTTTTGGGAGAAATTTTATAGGTTGATTTGTTTGATAAGTCTAATTTTGCAAAAGCTTTCTGAAGGCCATTTTAAAAAGTTAGCCTTTTGTATGAGTTATTAAATGACTCATAACAAGAAACTGTCTCTTAGCTTTGACAGACTAATTGTAGATAGGAAGTTTCCAATATGTTGTGTTTAGAAAGTATTTTTATTAAGTTAGTTGTAGACTTTTCTCTGTATAATTAGGTGTACATGCAGTATGTTTTTAAGGTGAAAACTATACTACTAGTAAATATATTTTTATTACATGGTTACCTTTTATTATCATAAAGGCATGCCTCTTTAGAAAATAAAAACTTTGTGTATAAGAATGTATTTAGATATGGTTTTTGTTATAATATTTTTTATTTTGTAAGAGACAAT